CATGGCGCGAAAAACAGACGAAGAGAAGTCCTTCATCAAAACTGGCTGCTTGCGAAGGGCATCTTTCACTGATGTCTGCCAGTGGGTTCTCAATGCGTGGAGACGTGTGAAAACATCCAGCATCACCGGCGGGTTTCGGAAGGCTGGGCTGCTGCGGGATGAAGAGGACCGCGAGTGCTCAAGTGAGAGCGACAAGGATGAGACTGAAGTCAGCGACAGCATCCTGAAGCTGTTCCATTCAGACACCGAGGAAGAGGACTTTGAGGGTTTTAGTGCGCAGGAGGAAGAAGAAAATGATTAAGGACTTTTCCTGGTCGACTGCAATGTTCTGTTCAATGCGTTGTTCATTTAAAAGTCACGGCACATGCAGCGTTATTTGCGTGTTACCGACACATGTGTTTTAAAATGTGTTACAGGTAGTTTGAAAAAAAAAAAGCGTTCATAATATGTACCGTGTTTGTTTTTTTATCATACGGATTAAATCAAACGTTAAAAAATGCTCATGTGTAATATCTTTATTTGTAAATATCTCATACAATGTGGGAAACCTGCGGCTTAAAATCCGGTGCGGCTTATAAAAGTACAAAATTGATTTTCTTTCTAAAATTAGAGCGTGCGGCTTGTAATCAGGTGCGCTTTATAGTCCGGAATTTACGGTAGATGTAGGCTTACAGTTTCTCCTTGGCAAATCTGTTAATTTGTATTAACATTACTAATAAGTCCAAACAAAAATTTTATTCGTTGGTTTTTGCTTTTTTCAGGGAACATGCTCAATCTGGGATGGTCTTTCACTACACCAAGAAGCTTGACAGGATTAAAAGGGTCATGTATCGTCATTCCTTGCAAGTTTACCTACAGTAATTCCCAGCCAGGTGGCCTCCAAGTTTTATGGTACTTGTACCAGAGTAATGGATATCCAGCTGTATTCAACCAAAAAGGAGGAAATATTTTGAACAGATATGATGGGAAAACAAGTTTAACAGGCTCTGTGACAGACAGGAATTGTAGCCTTAAAATAGAAAGGCTGGAGATGTACCACAATCAGGATCGACTTTACCCATGGATCGATGAGCACCCAATTACTTCCTACCATTCACAGGGACACTCATTTTTGGATAAAAGCACTCAGATTATGGTTTCCGGTATGTACAGTATATACATGCATAATTAGATATATACCTATGCCTAAAATTATTTATACCCTTTGCTGATATATTTTTGTATTTATTTTCATTCTAGCAAGGCACCTTTTATCTCTCACTCTTTTTTCAACAAAGAAAATAATCATTTATGCTAAATTCTGTGCCATTTTTCCCTTTCCTCTTTTTTCTGGGATCTACCTACGTGTCATAATCGATTAACTTAAAATCTTTCTTTGACCTTATAGACCATGCACAAGCTCCACAACTGAGCATAATTGATCTCCCTAGGGTGGGGGAAAAAAGCAGAGTTGCCTGTATAGTGCAGCATACATGTTTTGCTGCACCCCCTGTCCTGTCTCTGGATGGGATACCTGGGACAGACCACATTTTCGACACCCCAGTGTCAGATGGGATTTGGGAAAGAAAAATTGAAAGAACATGGACTGTTCAGGAAGACAACAGCAGGGTGGAGTGCACTGTGAGATATGCTGGTGGACAGAGTGCCAAAAGCGAGCTTCAAATACATGTTGAATGTAAGTATAAATATAGATATTAGTATTTAAAATCTGTTGAGAATTTTAATATTCCTTAGAAGGTAAAATAAAAATAAAAAAACTCTCAATTTCCTTTGTTACAGGTCCTAATGAAGAAATCAAAATGAATGAATCACCAGGAGAGTTGACAGAGGGTGTGGCAAAGAGCGTGATTTGTTCTGTGTCCTACAAGTGCAAAAAAAATAGACCGACAATTGAATGGAACTATTCAGACATGCAGAGTGTAGTAACAAACTACCAACAAGCTAGTTATAACTACATCACTGAGTCCAATCTAACATTTATTGGATCTTTAGAAGACAACGGAAAACGTTTGACCTGTACTGCACAGTTTGCCACTGGAGAAACCTCATACTCCACAGATCTCAGTGTAAAAAGTGAGTCTTTGAACATAACAATGTTCAATCATGTATTCAGTTAAATCCAAGAGACAACAATAATCTTCCATATTTTAGAAAGTATGTTTTTTTTTTAATTTCATTGTTTTCATTTAAATTAAAAACAGATGGGTTTTTATTTAATCCAAAATTCTAGTCTGAACCATTGTGATCAGCACTAAAAAGAAAATGCAGCTCCAACTGCAGTTAATTGCTTCAATTAGTAACAAGTTATTAAATTAAATCTGACCTTTTCTTATTTTTACCTTATAAACTTAAATTCAGTTGGATCTATTTTATTCCATTACATTTTTTTTTTTTTTTTATCAATTAAGGGAATTTGTTTAAGTTGGATCTGTATTTTCCTTTTAGAGTGAAGGAACATATTTTTTCAAACCTCTCGCTAATGGAGCTAATTACAGGGTAACCCTTGGAGAAAACCGTTTAGTTGTACGATTATGGCTCATGTATACCTTCTAGCAGGGCAACAAATCTTGAAATGCATCCAGAAAATAAATTGTCTACATCAAAGCTCATGCTTAAATGGGTCATAGAATGATTATATAGTTTATTTGGTGCTGGTTCTTAAGGTCTCAGAATAGGGTGTGTAACATTGGTTGGGCTGAAAATGGCATACTTGCTGTTCTATGAGCCCTAATGCAAGCCTGGTTATAAGCCCCACAACGAAACAACAGGTTATCTTCCTTTTATGGTATGCTCATGAATATTTAATTGAGCTGTGCGCTGATTGGTTGGTTTACAACAAGCAAAACTGCTGAGTAAAGACGCATCATAGCAACAAGCACTCACTCATTGAAACATCGAAATTGTTGATATGGTAGGGTGACCAGACATCCTCTTTCTCCGAGACATGTCCTAATTTTCATACCTAAAAAAAATGTCGGGGGAATTTCAAAACCATCTGGGATTTTGGTCGACTGCAGTGCCCCAGAACTGAGCCTATAGATGCTCAATAATTAATTTGAGCTTGAACCAGTCTGTAAACTTGAATTGTCAAACTTTTCAGTATTTAAACCAATAAGGCTAGTTAAGATTTAACCCTGGATGAATTTTGGCTTTAAAAGGTGACACTATAAAACACTAACCAGTAAACTATTGTTAGATTTTCACTTTAATAACATAGTCCTGGTTGTAGCTTCGGCTTAGCTTTAGGTGTTTGACATGTAACCAAAAATGTCAGTTTATCCTAATGATGACTTAACATTTTAAACTGATTAATTTATTTCTTTTTACAGAATACGAGGAACCAGTTGGAGAAGAACTGAATGAAAAAGATAGTGAGGGCACCTTTTTAAAGCAAATTTAATCAAACACAAAACATTTTTTTTCTTTCCTCTGTATCATTTCATATTCTTTATTCTTTAACATATCTTTGACAGAACCCTCCAAATTGCATTTTCTGGGATTTCCACCAGCACCATATTAAGTTTTAATGGTCCCTTTTTTTCTAACAGCTTTCCGTGTTCTGGCAGCTGACGTCCCTTTCAGATTCAAGGCCCTGACTCGGTCCTGTGTAATAATCCCCTGCAGTTTCCAAGATGATGAAGATCAACCCATGACCCGAGGAATCTGGTATAAGAAAACTGGGGGCGTTGTGTACCATAATGCCCGCAGTGTGGTTCTGGACCACTTTAAGGATCGAACCAAAATTTTGGGAAACCTGAATGAAGGCGACTGCTCCCTGGAGGTTGATGATATAAAACCATTTGACAATGGGCCTTTCTGTTTCTATGGAGAGAAAGGAAACAATAAATATAGATTTAACAACAGCTGTGTATTCATTGTCATGAAAGGTCAAGAATTCTTCCTAAAGTTCAAATGTTCAATTTAATGTTCTTCTGAGCAATAACACATTTCTTTGCTTTAATCTTTAGCCTCCCCAGACAAACCAGAGATGACCTCAATTCCAGCTGAATTAAATGCTGGTTCCATCGGAACTCTCTCCTGTTCAGTCAGCCATGCATGCTTTTCACACCCTCCAGAATTTACATGGAACGTTCCTATCATCAATAATAAGGTTTCAGACACTTTATTGTCACGAGGTGTCTGGCAAAGGACATCCACCATCAACTTTGTAGTTCCTGGAGGAGATGGATTGAAAAACCTGACCTGTACCGCCACCTTCTGGGGTCAAAAGAAACAAGCCAGCACCACAGTCACAGTAATTGTACAGGGTTAGAGGAAAGAACAGATATCTGCTCTGGTTTTACCAAAGTGTTTGGAATTGATATTTGGAGCTGAGAAATTAATTGAAATAATAATTACTTTTAATTTTCATCACCAGGAACTCTAAAGCACCAGATGGAGAAAGCTGTTCCTGTGGTGATTCCTGTCACCCTGTTAGTTCTGATCCTCTTAGCTGTTGGGCTTGTCCTATTTCGATACTGGAAAAGGTGAGTAAAGCTCTCATTTCAAAATCTATGAAATGGTATAGGTTTCATTGTCAGCATTTTGTTCATGCTGGTGGTTACTCTTTAAATTTGAGACCATTTAGAATAACTCTAGCAGACCTGAATAAAAATTTTTATAATTTTTTATTCCCAATAAAAATGTATTAATTTTTTTCCCATCAACAGAAGAAACAGGGAAGACCCTCTGAGACCCCCGCCCCGGCCAGAGAAAAGGCAAGATGGAAGCTAATCCTTCATTTAAATAAATAAACTTGAATTCTAACGTTATGATCAAAGGCTTACATTTTATCTCCACAAAAGATGGGAGGTCAGAGCAGTAGATCTTCAAAAAAAAATATTAAATGACAATTTATGCCATTAAGGGTCTTATTGTGCCGTATATAGGATTTAATGATCATAAATGCAAAAATACTGTAAACTGTTTTATTTTTTACTTTTTTAGAAAGCGGGCAGGTATCTCTATGCTCGATCAATTTAATTACTTATCTTAAAAGAAAAATTGTCCCTACAAAAAATGATCTTTAGAAAGATAACTTGAATCGTATCCCTGTAACATAAAAGCTACTAAAGCAAATCTTTCATGTATCCAGAAATAGCTATATGAAATGAAAGCAACTTTCTTTAAACAACAACCCTGTACATCCCTGGAGGAGCTCTCTAAACATGGGTTTTATAACTGAAATCATTTAAACATCTTTGTAAAGTCCTTTCAAATCTTTTTTGCAACTGCCATTCAATATCTTGGTAATAAGTGATACAGATTCTATGCAAAAGGAAATGTTCTTAGAGTTTTTTTTCGCTAATCCTGCTACACTGCATCTAGTGTAACGCCTGTTTACACTGAAATAACTTCTCAAACTAAATACCTTGTTTTTAGTGTTTCAGTTATGATAAAAGAAATATGAAACAGAGTAACACTAAATATTACTACCCTTACTTCACAAACAAATGTAACAGGGCATTGTTATTTAACTGATTTTTACAAACCTACATTCTCTTTAACAGGAGGTCTCTTTGGGAAAGATTTTCCAGGTAAGTTTCAATTCACCCTTTTCTAAAGGTTTCAATCTTATATATTTAATTAATCGATTAAAAAAACCGAACCACATCCAATCTAATTGAAATGCCTAGGAGATACCTTCATGAAGATAGAGAAAACCCCATGGGGCAAGAAAAAAGGTGTGTAACCAAAGTGCTATTTTTTAAATGGACAGTTGAACCCATATAAAAATAACAGATGTCTCTGTGCAGTAGATCAATTTGGAGCTGTTTTTTTCAGTAATAATACTAAAAAAAAAAAACCCTCCCATTAGAAAAACTGACATTTATGATCCTATTCTTTCCAGACGGACAGAGGAAGATCGAGTGGGGTGGCTAAATCCAAGGTACATGCCGTTTTTGGTTCTACATTTAGATCTGCTCAATCTTACTGTTAGAGTGGCTAGTAGTTAAATGTTTGTTTTGCAGGACTTCATTCTGGAATAGGTTTTCAAGGTATGATGTTCAGTATTTCAGAAGGAAAGCAAATTAGAGATTAACTAATAAAGGAAAAAAAAACTAATAACATAATTTGATCTCCTTTTAGACGCCAAACAAACTCAGCTGACGTCAGTGTTGGTTATTTGTAAGTTTTTAACCAGTCTATCTAAGATATTTCATAATAAGCAAAATAAAAAATCTAATTCTGAAATTGTTTGATATCCTTTGCTGCTAGAAGCAGCACCGAAAAGGTTGTCTGTAAAAAAGCACGTATGCCGTCACCTAAAAAGTAAGTACATCAGCTGTTTCTTTAAGGCTTCAAATAACTGTTGGGATTCATTTGGTTCACCTTTTATCTTGTTCCTTTCCCCCAGTAACCGAAGGCGACCTGCCCCTGCAACACCTGAGGTCAGTTGCACTGTGTTTTTAATATTAACAAAATAAACACCAACATTAAGATGGTCAACATTAGAATAAAGCTGTACATGATTAAATGTCATGAAATTTTGATCTTTTAATAGATCTTTTTAAAGTATTTAACAAGAGTCTTTGGCTCTAGAAATCTTTCTGTTGTATGGCTAAGGCAGTAAAATGGGCTTGGATGAAGTTTATTATGCAACCATAAACAAATTAAATGTTTGTTAATATTTCTTTTTTTATAGGATGGGACCGTGTATGGAAATGTTTTTTAGAAAAAAGCAGAGCATCATCTTGGAGAAGACTTCATTTCCTACTTCAGATTCATTATCGTGTGTTATTCTGCTTTTTATTTTGAAGGCAAATTCAAGCTTTTCATTTAGAAGATCAACAATAATCTGTCATCTATGTAGCCCCTGCCTTAACCATATTACAAAACTGTGTGTCATTAAAAATGTATTTTAATCAACAATAAATATAACTGTATAAACAAAACTAATTATTCTGGATACCTTTGTGATGATTTTTTTTTTCTTTTTAATCAGCAGTTTAAATCTACTCAGAAAAGTGCATCTGGCATCAACAACTAGCCTGACAGTGTGTTCAGAGAGTTTTCAGCCAGTGTTTGCGTTTTGGTATTCCGCTGCTCCTGAGTCCCGCATACTGATGTAACATCATTGGATCCTATGTCCATGGCTCGGGGTCTGACACTTTATGATAAAATATGATTGGCGGTCGCTATTCACTGTGTACACAGTACCTGCGTTTGGAGGAGACACGACACACAGTAGCATTCATTTAAAATTAACCAGCAGCTACTTCATGTTTTATTTCGAATTGAAAATTAGTAGAAGGGTTGGTTAAAAATAAAGATGTCAAAAGAGCCATCAGACATACCAACCTTTTTAACCAAAACAAAAGCAATGGAGTGTAAATAGCCTATATACCTGGCAATTAGTATTGTAATGCAATACATTTGACAAAACCAGGTGTTTAAATGGTGTGCTTGTCGTGGCTTGCAATGATGGAAGTCAAAAATCAGGACACCTTCAGTCGATCATCTGATTGCCCCAGGACGGGAGAAGAAGCGTTTATTTCAAAGATCAGATTGACATGCTGTCGTCAGTACACGTAACACAGCGCTGAACATTTCAACAGAACACATCTGGCTTTTCTCAACTGTCATTCAAATCTGGGCGTTTATATAGTTTCAACATTGCATGGTGTGGATGCACGCGCACGACTGGACGCTCTGTAGAACCTTCTGGGAGTTCTTGTCCTGTGACCCGATTGCATGCGCGTGGGCCTGAAAGACCCTGCTTTGTCAAGACTTGTGACTTCTAGTTTGTAAACATCCTGTTATTGGCGCATGACGACCAGCTCCCAAACAACTTGTTATTGCAAGGATTGCCGCATGACTTCCAACTCGTAAACATGTTGTTATTGCCAAGATTGGTGCATAACTTCCAATCCTGCTTGCTCTGTGTTATCAAGTGAGCTTAAGGTCACAATAACATAAGACAACACAATATGCTTCTATATGCTCTTTTCTAATTTGCTAAAAAAAAAATAATAATCTAAGCTCCTCACAGGATCATGACTCAGAGTTACAGTCTGATAAATTTATCAGACTGCAGAGGTTCTAGATATCCCAATTGGAAATCTTGCTGTAATTTTAAAGTCATGAAGAGGTGAATTGAAAATATGTTTCTCTGGAATCATATTAATGGACATCTTCATGTTATGTGTTTTTTAAGAGTGCTCAGAGACAGATTAAGGAAGAGCTGCAGATTTAAAAATGAAAAAGATTTACTGGGATATGCAACATGCAATAAAATCCTGCTAAGAAAGTATTTTACATTTCTCAGTCTTTTGTAATTCAGAATGATAGCTGTTCCACTTAGAGGCAGCTGCAGTCAGCACAATAGATTGCAAATCAGTTAATCAATGATTTGAAATTAAAATTTCAATATTTAGACTTTCGCTGTTAGAGCTATAAACTGTAGGACAGCAGTGTGCCATGTCCACCAGACAAGCCTAGACAGTGTAGACATCATTCAGTTATATGAGCAGTTTGTGTCAATAAATGTCAGGAGAAAGCAGGTGTTTGGCACATATAAATGAATGTGTGCTTTCCAATGTTTTTCTGTTATGTAAGTTTGTAGTCTATACATCCGATGTCAAAATATCTCATATAGGGAGGGGTTTGTTACCTGTCAAATATTAACAGTGAAATAGTTTGTTATGATTTTTTTTTAAATCTTATAATATACCTGGTTGTTACACAAGGGACTAAAACATTCTTTTTTTTTAAAGTACTGAAAAATAGATTTTAATTTGCAACTATTCATAGAACTTGCACAGAAGTTTTTTCTTTAATTTTTATTTTATTTATTATTACCGGTAATGTTGCTGATGTTTTTGAGTCATAACAAAAGCATAATGACTGAAAGGTACCTATCTATAAATATCTATTTATAAATATAAATATTTTGTTTTGCTACTGATGCATTCTCACAATATGAAAGCACTGAATAAATGTATGGTACATACGTTTGTGTTTGGGCTCATTTTTAGCAAAATATAACAAAAGCTTTTGGATCCTGTAACTGCAGGTTCATCATCCCCAACCCTTATAGAGTGTTCCCACCAACTTTCATCAAAGTTACATCCTTGAGGAGCTAGTTCTAACTGAGCACAGAGTGATCTCGGCTTTCAGCTTAAATAAAACTATAAGGTTCTGTAACATAATAAATTTTTTATCTGAACACAATGACTAAGCTTTGCCTTCTTACTTCAATCCTGTTTCCATTGGGCTTCATTTCTAATAACTAATCTTTCTCTTACAGACAAATTCACATTGTAAATTATTTCTAAGCATTATATGCATGTGACATGTAACAATTTAGGAGATCTTATCGGCTTGGTAAAGGTGCACCGGGGAGACTCAGAGTGGAGATCTGGGTGGTATGAGAAGGCTGCACAGTTCTTATGGTTGAAATTAATGAAATTATTTTACCCCTCATTACTGCTTTCCCTGCTTCCCATAGTATACAGGTGCTGGTCATAAAATTAGAATAT